CTTCCGCTGTTCCCCCGCACTCGTCGGTTGGGTGCGACACGGGGGGTTAGGCGGACAGTCGTACGCACGAGGTTTTGGTCAGAGTCTTCGAAGTCGACACGTTTGACGGAGACATTACGCACGAAACGCCGGTCCGTCTGACGCATGAGGATGAAGTCGAGGCGGTACTTCTCCTTTCCCTTGTTGGAGCTCTGGAATGTGTGCTGCACTCCACCTTTCGGTGTCCGGAAGTAGGTGTTGGTCAGGGAGAGTTGGTTGTCTGACGCCAGTCCAAGGAGTCGTTCCCCGTTGTTGTTCATAATGTCGCGTCCGTACGCGCCCATAATCTTGGCATCGCAGCACCCGTCTCGCCTCCTACCAGTGCGTGCGTTGGCGTCCATTAGCACCACGAGATGGTCACGGCTGTGAACCTCCCGGATCGCTGCGTCGAGAGCAGTCCAGAAGGAGTCCTTGGCGTTAACATCACCGCCCGCGGTGGTGCGGACAGTTTCCGTGGGGGCGTACCCCACCACGAAAGTTACTCCGCAGGTGCGGCCAATTTGTAGACGAACCTTCATCAGCCTCGGGCTAATGCACTCCACCGTCCTACCTTCCTCGCCCACACTCTCCCACATGGCCTCCTTGATCGCTATGCCCACACCGTGTACGCCCCCTTTTGTTCTTGTTGCCAGCACGGGCGCCACTCCAGATGATCACGTACCCGTCTTTACAATTGAACCTTGCCCCTCTCGTCGAGTCTCCTGAAGTCCTATCACATCACAGCCGGTCGCGGAACAAGTCTGCATGACCGTCATCACGTTGTGACCGATGGGGTTACTACCGCTGTAGGCGAGCGTGCGTACGTTGAACGTGCCGAACGATAGGTCGCCCTCTCGTGCCTTCTTCTTCGCAGCCGCCTTGACGGCCGCTGCGGTCTCGTGTCTCTCTCGGTCCACCTCGCGTTGCGGGTGTGCTTTCTTCCGTCTTTTCCGAGCGGCGAGTTTCCTCGCATCAATCCATCTCTGCAGAGCTCGGTTCTTGCCTGTGGTGTTTTGACGAGGAGGGTGCAGCACTCCCTCCCCGCGGTGCCCGCGGTCGTCTCCCTTCTCCCGCGAGCGGTGCTTACTGACGTGGTGTTTACGAATCTCTCTACTCCTCCAGCTCCGTGGGCCACGCTTTACGCGACGGCGGTTGCCAGGTGCAGTTTGCCGCTTTGCATTGCTGCCGCGGGAACAGTGTNAGACGGCCGCTGCGGTCTCGTTTCTCTCTCGGTCCTCGCGTTGCGGGTGTCCTTTCTTCCGTATTTTCCGAGCGGAGGATTTCCTCGCATCAATCCATATGTGCAGAGCTCGGTTCTTGCCTGTGGTGTTTTGACGAGGAGGGTGCAGCACTCCCTCCCCGCGGTGCCCGCGGTCGTCTCCCTTCTCCCGCGAGCGGTGCTTACTGACGTGGTGTTTACGAATCTCTCTACTCCTCCAGCTTCGTGGGCCACGCTTTCCGCGACGGTGGTTGCCAGGTGCAGTTTGCCGCTTTGCATTACTGCCGCGGGAACAGTGTCCATACACACCTCTCGCCACTACCACCGTCTGTGCATCCTCACCGCCACGCTGAGCCAGCGCGGCGGTGAGTTGCACCTTGGGACACCACCCGCCTACTATCTGTTGTGGCCTGGTTCGCCCGCGAGGGACTCACGAGGTCGATTTCGGCGCCGGCCGGGGAGCAGGCCGAGCGGGGGAAGGAGTGTTTCCACCCAAACGAGGGGGACGTCAACTTCGGTAGGTAGTGTAAGGGAGAGCGATCCGAACTCTGCCCGTCTTCCCCTCTCGTGGCATTTACACGCTCTCCCTTCGTCGAAGGCCAGCCGTACGAAAATACTTGACGCACCCGGAACAGAAAAGACTTGAGACATGAAACCGTTTACTGCTGTACATTTGCATCTAGACGCCATCCTCCTCCCCCCCTCCTCAGACCCCTCAAGTCGATCAAGTAAACCATGTTGGATAAAGCATGCAATAGGGGAAGTAGGGTTAGGGGAAAGGGTCTGCGTCTCCTCTCCCTTCCCTGATTTTTGTTCTCATGAACTTATCAATCTCGCGGAGGCGGTACACCTCCCTACGTGTGCCTCTATACACTAGTAGCGCCCTGCTCTACCCCTCACCCCCCAGACCCCAACCACCCCTACCTCGATCAGAGCATCAACTACCATGCCAACTCTCACCTTCTCCGCCACGCCGTTGCCTCGATTCTGTGTCCCGCCGCAGTACGCCAGCAAGGCAACCACGGTAATGCGCGGTGCCCTCAAGGAGCCCGCCCGCAGCACGGCCTTGGCGCGGGAAGCGGTGGGGTACAACCGCAACGTCTTCGTCGACGGCAAGCCGCAGGGCAAAGGTGAGAGTTCTTTTTACTTTTCTTGAAAGTATCACGACAAATCCAGCTCTGTCCATACACAAGGGCCTGGGATAAATGGTAATAAATTTTAGCGTTGCCGGGTGCTACCTGTGCTGATACGATTCCAAATACAGCGATGTATTCCCTGTGGGTAGCAGGCTCAGCAAGATAGCTCGGTGGCCATCTTGTGCTTCGGACTATCTCTGTATTATGCCGGGAAGGTTTAGAATATATTTTGCGTGTGCGCCGTGAAGCGGGGGAGGGGGGGGNGGGGGGGGGGGGGGGGGGGGGGGGGGGGGGGGTACTCATAGTCGTGTATGCCGTAGTCGTTAGACCATTGACGTTGCATCCCTACGAGGCCGGGACGGAGCACGCCGGGTTCTCCCCGGACCAGGCGCTCACATCACCAAGCGCGAAGCGCCCTGAGATATTCGGCGAGTCGCATAGAGGGTGCGCTGCATCCTGCTGAGAGGGTGAGGCGGGGCATACTCATGTTTTGCATCCCTTAGCGGTTTGACCATGGAGGCGACGGCGGGGTGGAGAGAAGAGGGAGATCGGCAAAGACTGGGAAGAGAAATCGGGCATCACTTAGTGTTGCATGTACGATATTTCCTTACGGATATCGTACCGAACGAATGGCATGCCCGGCCCACGTATCTCAAACTCGAAACTCTTGTGCATACTACCCCCATCATCGGGCTCACGGGAAAGTCTGCTGCGAGAGAGAGGGGGGGGGGTGCCTCTGTACGTACTTTTGCCATGCACTCGGTAGAACCCGACTGCTACCGTTTTTTTCGTTCGCAGGACCATCCATCCAACTTGTTGCAACGGAATGAGCAGGAGAAGGAGATTGTGACCGGCCCACGAACCTCCCACGAACGTCTTCTCTTGTTGGGATGACTTTCGATCGACCTCGATCGTTGTTTTGCTCTGATTCCACCCATATTTGTGTTTCTGTTCCTCTGATTTTACGTTGGTTTGATTCGCTCGTCTGTCTCTCGGCAGTGCCGGTGGCCAATTTGAAGGAGGCTGGGGCAATCTCGGCGTAGGGCAGATGATCGACACTTGCCATCGTAGGGGGAGGGAGGGGGGGGGGGGCGAAGGCAGGCGTAACTCAAGGAAACACCACACCACGATGCGGGAGCAGCAGCAGCAGCGGCAGCAGCAGCAGCAGGAGGAGGAGGATTGTCTGTTCTCGAGATGCGCGGGCTAAGAGAAGTTTCCCTTCATTTTTTTCTTCTTCGTGGAGAAGGCGCTGCTCAGAAGACGATGGGTTGTCTTGCCGCCTGCTCATGTGTGGTGCCTGACAGCGGGGGCGGGAGGCGGGTAACGTTTATAGCTTGGCCGCTTGTTGCCTACTAGTAGTTGTTTGGGGGCTTCGAAGCGCAGGTGTTTTTGTTTTTTTTGCTATTTGCTCCTCTGAGTTGCTGCCACAAGCGACCCGTTGTCGATCTAGGACAAGCGCACGCTCGAGGCTAGCGGGCAGATAGGTGGAGGCATGTGTGTGCGTGAGCCCCAACGAGAGTTGCGTCGGGTTATCACAACGTGCCGTGGTCGCGTGTTGAGCTATACGAGAACCATTTCGCGACTTACTTTTTTCGAAGCACGTCTTCACGATGATGATTCAATTTCCAATCTGTCGGAGTGCAGCAAGACATGACATCAAAGAGACGAGCTTCAACACTCGACAGCAGCACTTGCTCGTCGCACCTTGGAGAAACAGGATCTTGTGTTAAAACAACGGGGACTGCGGCATGATGATCATTATGTGTCATGGAGAGTTCCGAAGGCTGCAACGGACACCGCGCCTCACGGGATGCAGATAACTGAATCTCGTGCAGACGATGCTTGGAAGAAGATTGCGTCCGGATCGTCATGCTGCAAAGCCTGACACGGGAGCACCAAATTTGCGATTGGTCTTCGCGCATTTAACTTTCGTTCAAATGTATTCTAGGCGACAATCTACCTAAGAGCGTCGGAACCTGTTCGACCCACCAGCCAGGGTTCGAAACAACTGACGCTTTCAAGAACACCCACTGAAAAGTTGTATCAAGTTCTAAGTATCTAGTTGGGCGGCGATGCCATGTCGCCCACTTGTTTGCCACAATGTCGCCGTCCCATCACGCAGGGCTCGTCTATGCGCGTCTAGCAACGTGAGGATCGAGGCCACACATGAACATCCAACCTTTCGTTTCCTAAAAGCTTCCCTCTGCTGTGCACACGAAAGCGGTTTCGCAAGAAATTTTCTAACAAGGACCTGCCCTTTTGATTATTTGCCCGAACTTAGCCAAACGAAGACTCTCTCGGGTCAATGCGGGGACCAAACTTCGACTGCAGCGAAGCCATATCCCGGCTAAACCAGGTCGAGTTCTACTCAAGCACGAGCACAGCGATGCCATGGTCAGCTGTATGCAGTTACGACCAACAGTGCCTTCTGCCACCTACGAAAAAGCAATCAATGCGGACACAGCAACAACGCTATCGCACATCTCACCGGCCGAGCAACCAACGGTTCAACACCATTCCAGTTAAACAGCAGGAGGGGAAGGAGGAGGCGACGACGGTGGCCTTTGCACATGCCAAGACCGAATATATAACCCGCCATCGTGAAGTCAATTGTTGCAGATCTCTCTCTCTCTCTTTCGTGTTTTCTGTCACCGAACAGCGTCCGACTTTGCTGCAGTTTGCCATTCGGTAACCGCGCGATACACCGACCGGGAATCAAGCCCGTCGACGAGTGCTTGCCCAAACCCCACCATCCGCAAAATAAAATTACTCAAGGATGGCTCGACCGTGGTACAAATAGCAGTGCCGACGGACAGGAGACGCGGCTCACCCTGCGGAATCAAAGCCACAATGCCTGGTAGGTTAGCAACCCTCCCTCTGTAGGGTTGCCCCCTGACACAGGCTTGGCGCTAAGCTCACAAACAGATCAGAAGACTACCCACCAACAGATTATCCACTCCTCCCCTTCCCCCTTTGTTCACATAGACAAAAAAACAAACAAACTACATACAATTCGGCATCGTGTCCGCAAACGCCTGCAACATAGACGACGGCTCTTATCTTGGTAAGCAAACAACAAACAGGTAGCGAAACTACGACAGTCTGCCAGGTGCCTCATATCGTTGTTGTTCGTTTTCTACAGTCAGCTTAGCTTGCCAGCATTCCGCGGAGCCCCCTGTACGGATGGGAAAGACTGTCCGCTGCCACGTGCTGCTGCTACTGCTGTCATATGCTCGCAGCATGAAAAGGCCTGTAGGGGCAACGTAAACACGTGCACAATTTCCGTGCAAAGTTCGCTACAAGCCGACCTCTACTGATGTCCTGCTGGTGCTAGTGCTGGCGGTTGACGTCCTATGTACCACCGCCAACACCACCCGCTAGTACCCCACCTTTGCGGAAAGCCTGAGTCCGCTGTAGGCCAGCCTCTACTGATGTCCCCGCTGCTGGCGCTGGCGCTGGCGCTGGTGCCGGTTATGCCGCTGGCGGTTGCCGCTACCATTTGCCCGGTCCCACACCACCCGGTGGTACATACCTCACCAAAAGCCTCCATTTCACGAGCTCCGCTTCAGGTCCGGGGGGGCTCCATCATCCACACCAGCGGCCGGCGGCGGTGACGGCGCCTGCGGGAAAGCAGCCCCGCCGGAGTCACCGATGCCGCCGTCACCGTGAAAGTCGGGGTCCTTGAAGGTCGACAGGCTCCTCCGGAGCTCAATCGACGGCCGCCTAGCCTTGCGCTGTTCGTCGGTGAGCCCGAGGTCCCAGCCGTCCCCCATGCCGGCTACCGAGGCCACCGCCTGGGGAAGGTTAGGGTCAGGGTTAGGGTTAGGGTTGGGGTTAGAACCCGAGAGAGGAGAGAGGAGAGCGAGAGATTGGGGGTGGGGGGGGGGAGAGAGAGACAGACAGAGACAGAGACAGACAGACACAGACAGACAGAGAGACAGAGACAGACAGAGACAGACAGAGACAGAGACAGAGACAGAGACAGAGACAGAGACAGAGAGAAACAGAGGGAGAAATAGAGAGAGAGAAGAGGTTTTCCACAAGAAAAAACACTCGGCGGTAAACGGTACAGTCCTGGTCTGAAAATATAAGCACCATCTGACTCAAACGCTGCGATGCCCGATGACTCACCTTGGCGGGCCTGACCAATAACCTGTGCATCGCGGGCGACAAGGCCGAAGCGCACACGCTGCGAAGGTAGCCCTGCCCCACTCTCCTGCGAAATATATGGTATTTCGCAACACATTGATGGCAAACATGTTCCAAAGAGTCAAGTTTCTCCATTTCCACGTTGAAATGAAACACAGCGGTGACGATGACCGCATTCACGTGTAGAATAAATAGTCAGGAGGACGTGCAACTAAGCATATGGGAACAGAACCGAGCACGTACGTACCACGGTACTATTTGTCGTACCGTTTCGTATGCGGCGGAATCAGGGGCGGGTTTGGGGCAGCTCGGCTCTCAGCAGGCATGTGTAGTGGACAGTGAATAGGTAGAGAATATCGCACTCAAACCGCTTCCGTTTCACTACCGTGCAGCAGGTTTTCAACAATCAATGACTACTTTCAGCCAGGAGGCGAGCGAGAGAGCGGTGCATTAGCTGCTGCTGATGTTGTCGTTTCGTCTTTGAACGAAGAAAAAAAACAGTCCCTCCCACGCCACCCCTGCTGGTCGTGCAGGCACGAAAACAAACGCATTCTCCGCAGTCATAGGGCAAAGCCAAAGCTGGAAAGCTACTGGAAAAAAAGACCGCCGGTTTTCAAAGGGAAATATCCGCGAAAAAAGGCCTCGCAGGATGATACGAGTCTTTGCCTTAAGAGCCGCAAGCAACCGAGAAGTTATTCTCTGCTTTCGCGCCATCATCCGTCTGTTTCTACCGTCTATAGCCCGGCGCCAGCCCCTACCGTGCACAATCGCAGGCGTCTCTCCGTTTTCCGTTATTTTTCTAGAACAATGTTGAGAATTCAGGGGATTTACGACAACCAAGATATGCCGGAGGTCTTGGGTGGCAATAGCCTGATTCGATTCGATATCTCAACAAGAGGGAAACATCATAGTTGGTGGTAGACCTTATCAGAGCGAATGAATGAGAAAGACACCATAGAGAAGCGACACACAAACACATACATACATGCGGTATGAAAAATACAAGCGAAAAAAATTATCTGAAGTGGCCACGAACGCGCGCACCTGGTCCATGTGACGATAGCGAAGCCAAAAGCGCCTGCCAGGGTAGTCGCCACCCTGGAAGTCGTTTTGGTAACATTGTCCACCATAGAAAACGCGGCAGACGGTAAGTGGCGCGGAAATAAAAACGGCAACGTGACTTCTGTGTTCGCGAGGCTCTCACCAAAACGATACCAAGATTCGGAACAAACAGTGGTAAAAATGGACGAAACGATTCACTCCTCTACGACTGTAGCCTTTGACAATTTTTCTCCGCCTATTTTGTACCGCGAAAGCGACGCCTCGATTTCGAGGTTTTCGATCCAAGGCCACTAACTCGCCACGCGGCCGCGGGCATAGAGACGACGCCGAACCTCTCTCACAACCGTGAAATGAGGGCATAACAAGGTCGTTTGGGCTCCTGAGTCTCAGCGCTGCCGAGTGAACCACCTCGGCGTACTGGAAATCATGACCACATTTCGGGAAGAACCACGACCCCCCCCCCCCCCCCCCCCCCCCCCCCCCCCCCCCCCCCCCCCCCCCCCCCCCCCCCCCCCCCCCCCCCCCCCCCCC